CCCCAAAACCCCAAAACCCCAAAACCCCAGTCTTGACTCTTGAATTGAAATTGAACTATTAAGTTAATATCTTTCTTAGTTTTATTCATATCCCTTATTCAATCCAAAATAGAAGAAAAACTAATTTCAGGAACTAAAAATCTTTGATAAAGGCTCTCTACCAGTATAACGCACACTAGGATTTAACACTAAATCTGAGAGAACCCTCATCATCTAAAAAAAAAGCTATAATTTCTAGTTTTAATTAAATCTAACCTAATACTCTCCTTAACCCCCCAAAACTCCAAAAATCCCCCAAAACTCCCTCCAAACACAAATCCCCATCGCTTACCCATCCCTCCCCAAAACTCCCCTTCCCCTTAACCCCTCTCCCAACCCCACTTCCAAAACCCCATCCAAATTACCACTCCAGCCCACCCTAAAACTCTTCGTGCCCTCCTACCTCTTCTCATGGTTCTAACCCTAAACCTTAAGTTCAGATTCTGAAATATCTGTGCGGACATCTTAGGGGTAAGGTAAGATTTTGGGTGGTTTGGGGATGTAGTAGGGGAGAATGGGGGTTATGATGGGGGTTTGGAGAGGGGGATTGAGAGTTTTGGGAGATGGATAGAGCTGGGTGTGGGGATTAGGGGTAGAGGGAGGGAATGTAATTTAGAGGGGAGGATGGATTTAGGGGGTTGGGATGATTTTGAAAGGGTTTGGTTTGATTTTTGTTTAGAATATAGTTTGGTTTCTTTGGAGATATTTGGAATTATTTTAATTACTTCGAATTTCGCAAGATTCGACTAAATACAGTTGCTTAGATAAGGAATAATTGTAAGTTTTCATGGAAAACTATGTGCAATTGTTCCTCCTCCTACTACTGAAAAAAGTTCAAAGAATTCTCCAAGTTTTCAGAAAAATCAGGAATCGAATAAACTCTTCTTTCATATGAATCAACAACCAAATCTTGTCTGATTTCCAGGTCAATAAATATAGGATCTGACATATCCCGAGTCTCTTGGTCTTTCTGATAATTGTCAATTGTTAGAAACGAATCTTCCTTGTCTTCTCCGAGAGGCAACAAACTATCAGATAGAGCCACTGTACTCCTTTTAACATACAACTCTGAAAACTTCTTGAGTCCTGAAGACATCTTGAAAATAAACTGATCGTCAACGACCCTTTTGATTGGAGTCTCGAAATCATCGAAATCGAAGTATTTAGAACTGACAATGAAAGTAACTGTCAGATCTCTTGCTTTGGCCTCAATCTCCTCTTTTGATTTGCAGATTACTGAAGTTTCATTGACTCATCTTCTGACTTTGATTTGGACTGTCTTCAAAGTGTTAAAGAATACACTTCCTCCAAATGAGAAATCTGTTTGAGTTGAGCAATAACTGATTTGTGAAAAGAAGTTTCTAAAGTCATCTAACTTATGATCCAATAAAGGAAAATTTTCTCTACAAATAGCCATTGATTCTTCCTTGAGATCTGCATTGAGAGCTCCTGACTTAAAATCATAAGAATAACTTAGCTGAGCAACTGTGACATTGAAGTAGCTTGGGTCTACAAAAGGAACGAAAGAGTCATCAGTTGCTATAAAAACAGCGAATGCTAAATCTTCATGACTAAAGTTATAGTAATCAGAGACCAAGATCTGATCTCTCTCAATACTATTCTTAGCCTTACTAGTCGCAGACCTTGTCAGCATTTGGATAGATAACTGCATTCCATATGACACGAAGCCTATCGTCAAAAGAACAGAGAGAATGCCTCCTAAGAAGGTGGTAAATTTCTCTCTGCCTTGGTAAGTCAAACTGACAGGTTTAGAGAACATATCGATAGAGTTAACCTTAGCTTTGGTCCATATCCAAAATGCTTCCATAATTAGTTTTAATTTATTATTTGAGTAAAAGATGCTATTTCCAGGATAGATTATTTCTCTGGGGTTTTGGGGTTTTGGGGTTTTGGGG